TATTATTTATATACTCATTATATTCCTCTATGTCACAAGACATAAATAGGATATCTTTCCTACTAATTAAATCCTAATTAATAGTTACTATTGATTCATAGTCATCATTTTTAATAATTATTATATTGCAACTCGAATAAATTAATAAATATTCTTCTTCATTATAGTAAAATACCTGGCTTTCCTTCTTACTTTCCAAAATCTTTAATTGAAGAAAAGCTTTAAGCCTCCGGTAGTAGAACGTCTTACTATTTTCTATTATGGAGCAGACCCAAAGGGGTGACCCTTTAGAATCATGACTTGAAAAGCCTTTCTCTATATCTATCTCCAACTTGAAATTCTCTGAGTTTTCTAGGCTATCTAATTGAGATGGTACTCTCACTTCTGCTGATATGTGATTGATAGTTTTCTAGAAATTTTGGATAGTCATATTATGTTATTATTTAAAACTATAATAGTGATTAGAGAAAAGTTCAAAATAAAAATTAATTATTTTAGGTAATTAGTATTAGACAATATATACTACTTAAAAAATGTATTAGCAAAACTTTAGATATAAAATTTTACTATTGTCCTTATATTCTTAGAAGTGGGAAAGTATGTAATTGAGGTTGCTATTGACCCAAGAGATGTATAATTCACTGGGATTCTCCTATCCACATACTATATAAAGAATATGGTTATGTTAAGTTAATATCTTCGATATATAGAGCATGCAGAACTCATGCTGGTAAGTATTATTCTCAGGATCACTATCATCAGGAGAAGCTGAAGAAGATGATATAAAATAGTATTATAAAAAATACATAGTAGGTATACATATAATATCTTAGTATGGCCAAGTATTACTGAAAATTTTTAGTGACAGAAAATTTTCAGAGATGAGATCTCTATCAAATTCCATATTTTTAAACTTTTAGAAAGCTTTCTAGATATCTGTCACCAAAGTCACTAAAGTCATCAAAAAAAATCAAACTTCTTCAGCTTTTTTTTTCTCTTTTTTTATTATAAGTATATCACATATGTATAATACGTATATATCGAGTATATATCAGATATATATCAAAGGTATACCATAAGAAAAAGTTTTATTTTTTCTTATAATTTTACTTTATTTTTAGTAACTTTGATGACAGTATAGAAGAACAAGATAAAAAAGAATTTGAAACCAAAATTTAATAATAAATCTATTACCAAAGTTGTCACCAAAGATTTTTTGGTGATAGATAGCATTACCAGATAGCATATACTAACAATATACATATAATATTACCAGTTTACATCACTTATCTTCTTATATATATCATGAATAAAATTGAGTTAGATAACATATTATTAACATGAGTGAATTGAGATATTTTTCTAATACTAACTAATATCAAAAATTCTGATAATCAAAATCGGCATATTTTAATATAATGTACTCATTAGCATAATCAGAAAGCATGTATATAGCATACTTGATAGCAATTACGTGACATATATTTGATAGCATTTATGTAATATACTTGATAACATATATATAATAGTATTACTGGGTCCTTTAGGGATATTTCTTTGAGATATAGCATTTGCGTGATATATTTTATATACATATTTGATAACATATACCTGATACCATGACTTAATAGCATAATCAGATTCATGTATATAACATAATCAGATAGTATGTATATAACATACGTGATAGCAATTAAAAAGCATTCCTAATAGTAATTATGCAACATATATTGATGACATTCCCCAATAACATTTATGATATATATATTGGGCTCTTTAGGAGTGACTCTTTAAGACATAGCAATTGTGTGTACATATTTGATAGCATATCTAATAGCATTAGCCCTCACAATGACAATATATAATTAGTTGTATCATCAGATATATATTTTTTTATCTATGTGAGCCAACTGGCTATAACTACTAAGCTGATATACATTACTGTTATATCACATGTGACCTGATATATAAAATATATCACCTTGATGCATATTATAAAATGCAAAATGCATATTATTCAAGCGTGATCTAAAATGCAAAATGCATACCATAGTGATACATGTCTCAGTGGTTCACAATCAGTAATACAAATATAATCTATATAATGCCCGATATATAGACTATAAATGTCTCATCTTGATATCATAAAAAATAAAATGCACCACATTCAAGTGTGTCATAAAAATTGGATCATAACGCCTTAGTCTGTGTCATAAAAATTGGATCACAACACCTTAGTCTATGTCATAAAAAATATATACCTGGGATGGTTATAGTCCAAACTAAGTGGTATGATTATAGTCTATATAAACTATAATCATACTATTAATAATAATATTTTAAATATTTTATATAATTTTCTATATATTTATTGAAAATTTTAAATTATATTAGTAATATTATATATTATATATTATAATAAATATAATTAATAAGAAAGTTTTATTATAATATAATTATTAGAATATATAAAATATATTATAATTAATAACTTATATTTTATTATATAATACAATATTTTTAATTTTTTATAATAAAATTTCTTTTAAGATATTATTAAAAATAAAACTATTTGATTAAAAAATATATAAAATAAATTTATATTATTAAAAGAAATATGTAAAATAAAATTCAACTTAATTAAAAATTTGAAAGATATTCTTTCTAGCAAGCTTAATAAAAATATATCACTTTATTTAATAATAATAGATTTATTATCATACTTACTTATAATAAAAAGAATAAAATCAATATTATATCTTAGAAATATATTTATATATAGTGTATGACAAAAAACTTAATTATTTTCTGATTATATTAGATAATAAATAAATATCTTTAATTTTAGCTTAATTTATACTATTTTTTATTGAATTAAAATTAAATAACAGATTTATTTGCTATATTTATTAAATAAATTCTTGCAAAATTTACTATTAAAATATTATTAATTACTTATAAATAAAAGATATACAGCTTATTATATTATTAGAATAAAGATATTTATTCTATATCTAAACTATTCAAACTGATTTTAATTTTATAAAAAATTTATAAATTATTATTAAGAGTAATATTAAGAAATAAATATCTAAAAATTTAAATATTTTAAAGAAGTTTTTGATAGAAAAATGTGATCCTATTTCAAAAATTATTTTAAATAATTTAATAAATTCAATAAAATATTATTATAAGTTAGTTATTGAAAGTAAAAATAAATAAATCAATTTTTAAGTCTAATAAATTTTATTCTATAACTTTTTTGCTTTTAAATGATATATTAATTAATAAATTTGATGAAATACTCATGAATTTATAATGAATTTAGTATAGTTAAGTTTTTTTGTCATACACTGTATATATAAGAGATTAAAAATATATATAGTCAAATCTCTCTATAGTCATATCACTTTATAGTCATCTTTTTTTAATCATCTTTTTTAAGTGTGCCAATTATTAATTAATTATAATTGAAAAAATCTCTTTATAATTACATCTCTTTTTAGTCACTCAATTTTGCTTTTTCAAGTGTAATAATTATAGAGAGATCTGACTATATTAAGAAAAGAAACATATACAAAAAAGAATTATAATATAGAATATACTATTGATAATTACCTATTTTATATTATTAGAAAAATAATAATCTGATTTATATTATAAAAGTTGAAAATTAGTATAAGTTCAAGATAACTTTTTTCATCTCTTTAATCGGATTTGTTTTGCCGGATCGATCATTATTGACAAAAATTGCGCACTCCTATACACTCTATTGTATGAATTATAGATTAGGAAATTTGAAATTAATATAAATAAAAAAATATTTATTTATATTAAAAGTAATATAAATTAAGTCAATTCTCTTTTATGTGTTAAAATTTTATTTTTTTAAGTTTTTTGTGTCCATTTTCACTGTAATAGGGCTTCCGACTAATAAACAGGTTTAAATTCCGAATTTGATGCGGTAATGTGCATTGTGACAGTAACCAAATCACCAATGTTTTTCCATCTCTCCTCTATTCGCACTTTGATTTGTCGATGTTAATATTATCGTTAAAAACCCCGCATATATACTTTTTTATTTGTAATAAATAAACATGTGAATAATCGTGTCACCAAAAAACAATGCATTGATGCAAAGCGGTTTGTCGCTATGCATATGTATATCTCATTTTGGAAATGTTATTACATAGTATTGATTTTACGAGTGAACAAAATTGTATGTAAAATTATTGGATGGATTACATGAAGGTTACATATTTCCAAATTGGTGGACGGTTTGTTTCTCAAAGATAAGATAATCTTTGTTTGTTATTTATTCACCATTGTTTTGTTATAAAGATATTTTTTTGTAAGTTTATAATGAATTAATCTGTGTTATTAGTTAAATTTTTGAAAAATTCACCATATCGAGAGTTTATTAATAAATTCACTAATTACAGTATATCGAGAAGATTCCACTTCATTATAACGAGAGTGACTTATAACTGGTTTCAAAATATCGATCGATATCAATCTAAATGTTTATTATAAAGAGTTGATATAGAAGTATGTTGTATTGGTAAATCGGTACCTGCATGAACTTATGCACTATACATATATGGCAGTTCGAGCTAAAGCCAATAATGAGAGCATTTTTTACAACGTGTTGTTTAAATCCGAAAGAGAGAATAACTGGCACCAGTTACCGAGTAACATAATAAAGTTGAAAAATTTAGTTATAAACAAACATGTTTTCGCAAATTGAGTCCTTTATAGTTCGAACTCGAAAAAATTATGACGTTTCATTGATCGCCCCTATCGTATGTTTTCCTTACTCCCTCAGATATTCCCTTTCCTCTTTACGTGCATTTGAGTTTTACAATTTCCATCTCCTTTACTATTTAATTTTCCGCTCAAGTTTGCACTCAACTTTCATTTCTTAACTGACTATTATCAACATCATTATCGCTATCACGAAGCTGTTTTAAAAAATACAATTACCATCAAAATAAATACAAATGGCATTAACATTAAACATACCTTCTATCACTAACATAAGTTATCCCATCGAAGTTATTTGTAAACCAAGCGAAAATGTGTGCTATTGTGATTGGAGGGTACAAATTGAGGGTTAGTTAAAAAATGCGGATTTTTTACGTGTCATTGAGATTTTTTCTATTACGCGTTCATCGATTTTTACAAATTAACTAATTAATTATAATGATTAATAAAGGATGTGATACACAGCAACAATTTTTAAGAGATCTGTACCTCGTGAACGTGGTCTGCTGTTTTGTTGTCTTCTTGTTGCTAATTGGACTCTTAATATGGAGAAAAACTATAAGAGGTCAACGATTGATATCACCTGATCCTTTTAAAGAAATGGGAATTTTAAAACCAAGGCCATTGGAAGGATTTTTATTAATGAATCTTTTTCATGTCGCAGGCAAGTAGTAAATTATGATTGGGATTTACCATATTTTTCATAGTCATTATTTTAACTATAAATAGGTGTTATTGATTAAACAGGAAGATTACTTTACTCAGTTTGTCTATTAAGTGATTATATACAATATAACTCGTTGAAAGAATGTGAGTATGATATATTCAATTAGCGTTTGTACAAAGAATTTTATTAATATTATAATAGTATTCCATGATGTGACTTTCACATTGTCCCTGGCAGGAATGGCCATTTATCTGATTGGCTTAATTTACACAATTCCAAAATCACATGAAGCTCCGCGACATTATAATATGAATCGACAATTAAATCATGGACATTCGAGAGGAGTTTGGGTGCCTCGCCCTGCCATTGTCGACGCTTTCGGATTTTTTGTGCTCCTTGGTCCCATTGTATCATTAAACACTTTTGCTATTCTGTGTGGCTTCTTTCTTGATCATGACAAGGAGACTCTTTATAAAATATTTATCGTAATCCATTATGTATCTTGGAGTTTCTTTTGTTGGATATTGATTTGTGGTATATTGTATTTTGGAAAGCAATTGACGTCAATCTTGATAAAACACATACAGGTAATTTATCTTAAATTTAAAGCATTTATATATATATTTTTTTAATAATTTATTTTTTCTATTTCACAAAGGATACCAAAGAAGCGGGGAGAGCCACCCCTTTAAAAGTTAATCGATTAGAATATGGCTTAAGAAAGGTTTATTATTAATATTTATTTTTGATAGTTTCAAAAAGAGTGGAAATGCATTCGATATAAATTATATTAACAATTATTTATTGATTATATAGCTGAAATGGGTGCTTTACCTCTTACTGGGAACTCTATTATTTTTTGCTACAACATCAATAGCATTCGCGTGCTTTCGTGAATTTATTTTGATTGCTCCAATCGTTTCCCACACGCTAGCCATATTTTGGGTATTACTCGGTAGGTGTATCAACTAATTAATAATAGTATTTATGTTTACGATGCTTATATACTCATATACATAAAACATAGTGCCCGTTGTAAATGTCGTCATCGTGACGGTCCTGGCACATGAAATAAGGTAATTAATTGTTAGAAATATATCCTTTCCTATAAAAGAACTTTTAAATGATTAATCATTTGTTTTTATAATAGCAATAAAGAGGAACCAGTACATATTCTTCGTCAATCAACTTTTGCATCTCGTTATTTACATACAATGCCGCCTAGTCATCATCTTTCACACCATTCCTCTCATTTCAAATCGGAAAATTTTCTGTCCACAATTTCAAAAACGGATGCACCTAATTCAATATATCACAAACCTAATGTATCTTCCTCAGTTGGTCAAATAAGTCCAATACAGCTACCAGCTATGTATGGCGAGGATTCTAAAATATCAGAAGCCAATATAGACTCTAGACATCAAACGGAATCTTATAGTCAGACTAATTCAATCAAGCAAGAGCGCCCAACAATCATTCCTTTGGCCCCTGTACATTTATTAATGTCATCAATGCCACAAGATTTGTCTTCAAATCAATCATCATATTTACCTATAGGATTTCGAGCTATGGGTGAAACTGTCACATTTGCAACTTTAGGTGCTGATGTACAAATAGTTAATGAATTTGCTGGTGATTCACAATCACCAATGCAATACAATAATAATAACAGTAATGATTATAACGATATCCCCAAAAACTTAAAGAATGCCTGGTGATTGATACTTTATAAAGACATTTTTTTAGAAAGACAAATGAATGCATTGTTATTATTATTCCCATCCCATATTTTCGCAATTTTTTCCTTTTCTTACTCTTTTTCCCCTCATTTTTTATCAAACAAGCGATATTAAGTTCCTTCCTACAAACGATTCAAGCCCCAAACTCTATTCATAATGTGTTGTTAGTCTTGCACAGAGTGAATGAAAGAACAAATGAAATTAATAGATACGAGGGAAGCAATAAGTATAGGGGAATTATTCTATTTAATGCTTTTTTTCTTCGCGCATCACAATTAAGCAATTTGGATGTTTTTCTTATTGTTCTATTCTATTTCGCAAATGAAATTTTTTTAGCGAATTCTTTTTTTCATTGATCTATGGGTGGGGTCATTGATTACAATAGAATTCCTGGATAATTTCATTGTATGTAATATAAATCCTTTTCTCGCCAAACTAAATTGTATATGTTTCGCTTATCGATGTCGTGATCGATGTCGTATTCTTGTAATTAAATCCTGGCTGAATCTGATTCCCTCAACCTTCTCTCATTTCTTCTACTTTTATTTATTCACGGGGTGAGAATACATCAAAACTAAAATCTTATTTTCCTCTGTCTGTTCTCTTCTTTTCTTTTAAAAAATATTCGATCCTATTTTTTTCTGTTATTATATATGTAGATTTGTGTGAACTTTTTCGTATGATTTATATTCTCTTTTGTATATCTTTTTTTTTGAAATCTCCCTTCTCTTATTCTCGATACATGTTTATTAATTCATTTTCACTACTACTACTCTTATGCATTGACGACGAAACGAATCTTGCAACTATATATATATGTACACTATCCATTTTGCATTAGAATTCTTTTTCCCTTAAGCTAACCTTAAATTAAGCACAAAAAAGGTGGCATTACATTGTATAATATTGCGCAGAATCAATTTTATTATCATTGTTTAACATCATTTTTAATAAAATTAATCAATATATTGAATATATTGGTTTTTATACCTCGGTTTCCGATTTAAGTTTAGATCAGAATATGGGTTATATTACGAAGTTTTTAATTCAATAAACTTTTGTAATTCTTTTTATTACTATTTCTTAGAATCATAAAAACTGAGAGGGATAGTAGAATTCATGAAAAATTTTTTTCAGATAATACATACTTTCAATAATCATAATTATTCAGAAAATTATATTACTAAATAATTAGATAATACCATGTTAACAATTTGAAATTTTAAAATTCTTTCTATAATTATATTTTTCTATAATTAATCAATTTTGTTTTTTAAGAGTGATAAATATAAAGATTTAATTATAATTATAATCTGATAATATTTTATTTATTAAAATAATTAAGATATTATTTTAGTTTAAATATATTTGAATAAATATAAATTAATATTATTAAAATCTTTATCTTAATAAGTTCAAGTTAATTAATAAGTTTTTTTGCTTTGCTCTCTGATTTATATTTATAGTAAAAGATAAAAGTATTTAATTATCTGTAATTTTTAAATTAAAAATCAATTATCTTAAAATTTTCAGTATAAATAATAAAATATAAATCTAGATTATATAAGTTTTTTATAAGTTTTTAATTATTATAATAAAATTTAAATAAAAGCTGAATTTTAAAATTGAATTTTTATATAAATAAAAAAAATATTAAAAATTAATATATTAAAATTTAAGTATGAACTGTTGCAAGAAGATTGATATACCAATATAAAAATTAATAATTGCTTCTAATAAAAATTATTCAAATTTTAATTAATCTTTATAATTTTTTTATATTAAATAAAAAATAATCTAAATTAACTTTTTATATTATTTT